TGTGTGTGTGTGTGTGTGTGTGTGAGAGCGTGTGTGTGTGCGTGCGTGTGTACGTGCGTGTGTGTGATTCTACAATTATGTTTGTAAATTAGAACATGTATAACCCTTTCACGTGACATTCAAACTGAAATCGGTGGAGATGTTTGAATATACAATAGATCAGTGGTTCTTAACCTTTTTTGAGTCATGGACCCCTTTGAGAATCTGGTGAAAGCTACATAATTATGAAACCTAGTCGATTTAAGTTTCAGTCCGTGTAGGCACGTGATCGTATAGGTCGTAATGTTATGTGCGTTGTAGGTCGTTAAGTCTTGCGTTGTGTGTTCTTATGGTGTGTTATATTAATAATACCCGTTCGTTGGTGCGTTTCGTGTTGAGGTGAGCTTGAAGGAGATGTCAGACCAACGAATAACAGCGGAGGTACCACAATTAATTTCGTAAGTCCAAAAGTGAGCTAGAGTCCAGAAACGTAGTCTAACACATGAATAGTAACTGTGTGCGCGCTTGGAAACTAAAGAGCTCCCAAGGTGTGGTCATATATATATATAACCAGCGGGGTGACGTCACATCAGGTGTCCCCAATGCCACTGCAGGCCGAAAGGCGTCCCCTCGCCACTCGCCTGTAGCGCACTGCACCACATCCCGCTTCGCCACACAGGCGTGTCCTTGGCTGGTATACGCGTACTCAACATGCCATAAGAAAATGTACAATATGAGAAAAGCTATTAATTTCACCGCACATAATTTGATTAAACGATAAACTTTTGATTAAAACTATCCGCGCACTGTTACACATACTCATCCCCAGAAAAATGCACATAAGCACATAAACACAAAATTTTGCATACAATGTGGTTGACGGACCCCATGAAGCCCATCCGGACCCCAAAGAGGTCCATGGACCACAGGTTAATAACCCCTACAATCGATCTTTCGCGTATAGGAAACGGCGTATCATAAACCTGAACTGGTGCATGAATTAGTATTCCACGATTGTACGAAAGTAAATTAAAGGCAGGTAGGTGCTGACTTGCTTTCTGTGACATGCCAAGCATGCGTGAGAAGGAACTCGTGTAATAATCCTTTCAGCTTTCGCTGGAATTCTATGAATTTAAAAAAATCTCTCAACTATCTTTATGTAGCAAGTAATAATATAATGTCAGGGCCCCGGTTAACAGCAATAACTTCCTTCTAGTGAATTTTAGTGAAAGTATTACTCGCGCAATACCTTACGCACTCGCGTCTGTTTTTATGTCTATATATATTTTATCAAGTCTTGATTTTGTTAATTCACGTCAGTGAATCATGATGAGAACTTACGTCAGGAACATAATATAAAGCGCAACATTCAAAAAACTTTCCTATGATCCCCACACACTACATCACACCTTCCCTAATATCTTATACACACCTCGATCCGCACATACCCTATATCCACACACACCTCCTATGACTCCACCACCACACACCTCTCTATGATTCCACCCAGCACACCATCACCTCCCTATGTCCCCCACCACACACACATCCTCCCCTATGCATCCACACACACCACACACCTCCCTATGATCCACAACACCACATACACACCCTCCCTATCATCCCCCTACACACATCCCTATCGCATCCCCCCATCT